GTGTGTGTGTGTGTGTGTGTGTGTGTGTGTGTGTGTGTGAGAGAGAGAGAGAGAGAGAGAGAGAGAGAGAGAGAGAGAGAATGAATGAGAATAATATTTTATAGTAAAGAAAAACTTAAAATGAAGTCCAAAGGATAAAACAACATGCAGACATGGTATATGCTAAGAAGATAAGGAAACACATGGGCTTGTCCTGTGACAAAGAGAGAAGATGAAGAGATCAAAAAGAGACCAGCAAAATGCTCTGCTAGCCTTGGTGTGTCAGGGGCTTGCAGGGAGAGTTGCCCAGTGCCCCAGAGCCATGTGCCTGGTGCTGGTCGCGCTGTCCTCAGGCTGGACAGGCAGCCTTGTTTCCAGTAGCTGAAAAGTTCTGGCCTGTCAGGAAGAAAACACAAGTCTCCTGATCATTTGCTGCCTGCATCCTTTCACATACGGCTGTTCCCCTCTGGTTCAGGGTTACAAAGCCTGTTCATTCCAGTCAGAAGGTTGGCAGCTTGATCAATGGTTTCCTGTGCCTTGATGATAAATGCCTTTCCTCTTTAGAAGATAAATCTGTATTTTGAAGGGTCAGTGCTTTTTGAGTTCTTTATAATAGAACTCCATTCCAATCCATTTCCTAACTGTGACCTGTTCCGGGGCTCTTGGCCAAAACAAATTCTGCTAATGACAAATAACAGAAAGTACAGGAAAATCATGTGCTCCTTAATTTAAGCCATGGATGAGGCTTCTGAGAGCGGCTAGGCCAGGGCCTTTCTTGCTCTATAGATCAGGAAACAGGATTTCTGGAGAGAGGAAGAAGCAAGCGTGCTCAGGATCACGTCGCCACGTCTGGCTGGCTCCACTTCCCTGAAGGCTGTAGGAGAGTGCCAGCCATCTTCTCAAGTTAAAATCTTGTCAAGACAAACTTCCAGTTCATGCTAGACCTACAGGTTGCCAGGAAATATCTTATTTGATTTTTTTTTCATAAAACCTTTAGTTTTATAGGTTGGCTACACAGAAATTTTTTTCTTTTAAGTAGTAATGTTGATCCTTTATTGATGGTCTCTGGTGTCTCATACATATTGACCTGTTAGAACTACTTGGGGCTAAATGGATTCTGTGAAGTTTTATTTATTTATTTATTTATTTATTTATTTATTTATTTAATGTATGTAAGTACATTGTTGCTGTCTTCAGAGACACCAGAAGAGGACACTGGGGATTTCATTGCAGATGACTGTGAGCTACCATGTGGTTGCTGGGAATTGAACTCAGGACCTCTGGAAGAGCAGTCAGTGCTCTTAACCGCTGAGCTATCTCTCCAGCCCTCTGTAAAGTTTTATAAGTATGTATGTCCCTGAACTTACCTTTATAAAGACAGAGTTGAGTAGCTATAGCCAAGAACTTAAGACCAACAAAACCTAAAATGCTTCAGACTCTTGACAGAAAAAATATTTTTTTTTGAGATCGGTTATGTTAAGTAGTTGAGGCTGGTCTTGCACTCCTGATCCTCCTGCCTTTACCTTCCAAGTTCTGGGATTATAGTCCTATGCTACTGTGTCTGACTTATACAGACAGGGTTTGTCAAGTCCTACAGAAGATCTGATAAAACACAGAATGACAAAAACAGGGAAATCATTACCTCCCAGGAGACTTAGGTTGATGGTGGCTTAACCATTTTCCCAGTTAAATGTTTTCAAAGTCTTTGATTTGCCAGCCATCAGCTCCTAGAAGCAGACAGGATGGCTTTTAGGTCTGGCTTATCTGTAACCTAACGGTACTTAGTATAGTATACAACAGTGGTCTCAACCTGTCACATATCTGATATCCTGCATATCAGATTTTACATTACGATTCATTACAGTAGCAAACTTACAGTTATAGAGTATCGACAGAATAATGTTATGACTGGGGGTCAGCACAACATGAGGGACTGTATTAAAGGGTCACAGCATTGGGAGAGTTGGGAACCACTGGTGTAGAAGTTCTTCTCAACTTGCACAAATAGTGCTGGCTGCACCTCGCCAATAGTGACAAGCAATGGGAGCGCACACAGAGCCTTGGGTTCAAATCCTCGGCATGAGGTTGGGGAAGCATGTTAAACAAACCAACATGATTTCCTTTGTTAATGGATTTTCTTCACTTCCACTGACTTAGGGGCAGGTTCAAGGCAGTGGTGTGTGTCCTGTCTGCAGTTACAACATGCCTGGCATTTGTCAAGCCCGCCATCAACAATATCTCTCTGATGATTCTGGGGGTTCCATGCACTGCGCTGCTCATTGCAGAGTTGAAAAGGTGGGTACTGTTCTTCCTGTCTTTTGTTGCCCAGGTAACCATTTTCTTTTGGGAAGTTGTAGATGAAGGCTTCAGGTTCATCACATCATCAGCATGTCCACAGAGATCAGGAGAGTAGTCTGATCCTTTGGACTAGAGTTGTGAGCTGCCTGACATGTGTGCTGAGACCAGATCTGAGTAAGTGCTCTTAGCTTCTAAACCATCTCTCCAGCCCTTCCGGAAACATTTTATGGGGACTGGAGATATGGCAAAGAGCATTTGTTGCCCTTCCAAGCATACTTGGTCTTGTTCCCAGCATCTGAATGGTGGCTCCCAGGCATCCAACACCCTCTTCTGACCTCTGCAAGTACCAGGCATGCACATGGCACATACATTCAAGCTAAATCCATACAAACAAAATAAAAATAGTGAAGAAATCCCCCAAATTTTATTTTAGGTTGTGTGTGTGGGTCTTCCAGCCACAAAATACATATGATCACTTTAAGATTTGCTGAAAACATTGTTTCTATTGTAGTTACTTTAAAAATGTATTTGAATTCATACTTCTCTTGCTATGAACACTGAATGTCTCGATTCTTTTTTAATCCATTCTTGCTATGTAGCTGAGGCTGGCCAGGCTAACTCATATTGATCTTCCCACTCTTCCTTAGGACTGGGATCGTAAGTGTGAAACGAGTGCCCGTGAGTGACTTTTTAAAAATTATAAAGACAATATTTTATGTGTATGGGTGCTTTGTCTGTATATATGCCCGTACACCACTTACATGCCTGGTACTTGGGGAAACCAGAAGAAGGTATCAGATTCCCTGGAACTGGAGTTAAAGATGGTTGTGAGACATTATATGATTGCTAGAAATTGAACCCCGGTGCTCTCAGAGAACAACCAACTGCTCTTAACCCCTGAGTCATCTTTCCAGCCTCTAAATGTGGTTGTTGTTTTTTGTTTGTCTGTTTGTTTTGTCTTGTTTTTGATAGGATTTCTCTGTGTAGCCCTGTTTGTCCTGGAACTTGCTCTGTAGGCCTTCCTCTGCCTCCTGGGATTATAGGTGTTTGCCACCACACTGGGTTTATGAAGTCTTTCTTATCTTTAGTCCCCAATCTGTTTAGCTGCTTACCTGACTCCTATAGGAGTCACAGGTATTGAGAGTTCAAGTTGACAAAGCCAGGTTCCTCACCTGTCCTTCCTATCCCTAGTTTTCTCTGTTGTGTTTCCAGTTGTGCTAAATAGGAGTACCGTGCGTCCAGATGTCCAAGTCAGAAGCTATCTCTCCCAGAACATCTCCTCTGGTCTTGGTCATTGTTCTATTTGTTGGCACGCCAATTCCCATACAATTCAAAGTCTTTCACACACATCTCTGCTGTCCCTGTAAGTTGAGAGAGCGTATTGTGTGTCGTTCTACCGCCCCCCAACTCCTCTGCAAAACACACACACACACACACACACACACACACACACACACACACACAGAGTTCCCCCTTCTGTCTGTTCTCCACCATTCTGACTTCTGTGTCTTCACTTGAACCCAGGTCCCTCTGGCTCCAGGCCCTTGCTCACACGTCCCCCTTTCTGACCGTCGGTGTGATTGACTGTTGCTGGTCCTCTAGCTTGGGCCTCAGCCATTTATATATGGTCCTATTGCTCGCCTTTATAGCACTCACTACAACCGTGATTAGAAAGTTATTTGCATTGTTTGACTTCTGCTTAACACAGGGACCAAGGGATACTGCGTGGACAGGGCTCAGGTCTTTTTGTTCCCTGCTGTAACTCAGTCACCACCCAATCCCCAGTAAGGAAAAAGGAAAGGAAAGATTCCCTGCTTTGGTGACATTCCCAGAAAAAGGATGCCCTTGGAGCTCTGTGCATTTCCTTTCAGCATCTTCCCTGTTTGTTCTCACATGACATGTTATGCCAAGCCAGTCTTTCTCAATGTGCCTTGCTTTGCCTAGGGGACAAAGAGGAAGGACTGTGTTTTATCGCTCTGCTCATCTCTAGCCTTCCTTCCTGAAGCACGTCTGGTCTTTAGAGTTTCAATGTCGGTTCTGAACCTTCTGTCACCAGGAGAAAATGAAAGTTTATTCTGATTCAGGGTCATGACCTGATGTGCTGAACTTTGGGATATTTAAATTACGTTGCTAAGAGACTATCTTGCATTTAAAATACTTTAAAAACAACTTTTCCGAGGGGTGGGGAGATGGCTCAGTGGTTAAGAGCACTGACTGCTCTTCCACAGGTCCTGAGTTGGATTCCCAGCAACCACGAGGTGGCTCACAACCATCTATAATGGGATCCAATGCCCTCTTCTAGTGTGTCTGAAGACAGCTACAGTGTACTCACATACATACAATAAATAAATAAATCAATCTTTAAAAACAAACAAACAACCCCCAACTTTTCCTGGGGGCTGGAGAGGCTCAGTGGTTTAGAACACTTGTGTGTTGCTCTGACAGAAGGCTGGGTTTTGATTCCCAATACCACATGATGGTTTATGATGGTCCCTGTTCCAGGGGACCAGACACTGTCTTCAGGAGTCTTTGCATACCAAGGCATGCACATAGTGTACATATATACATGCGGGCAAAATGCTCATACACATAAAGCAGACACACCTAAACATTTTTAAATGATATTTTAAAATGTATCTTTTCTGATTCCGAGAATGATTATTTTATTCATTTTTTCCATGAATTAATTTATTTATTCACTTTAGATCCTGATTGCAGCTCCTCTCTTTCCTCTCAGTCCCCCACTCAGATGACCTCTTACCCCCCCCCCTTCTCTGAGAAGGAGAGGTCCCCTCTGGCTACCAACCCACCCTGGCACCTCAAGTCGCTGAAGGACTAGGTACATCCTCTCCCACAAAGGCCAATTGATTACTTTATTCTTTAAAGTACCTTAAGTATACAATAAAGGAGGCTGGGTCTGATAGTACATGCCTTTAATCCCAGCACCAGGGAGGCAAAGACAGGAAAATCTTTTTGAGTTCAAGGCCGGCTTGGTTTGCATAGTGAATTTCAGGACAGTCAGTAGGGCTACAGAATAAGACTCTGTTTCAAAAGCAAAACAAAACACTCCCTACTCCCAGCCAATAAAGGATTGGTAAGAGAAGAATTAGTGGGCGTTGCTCTCTGGGGTTTGTATAAGGATTGATAAGGGAAGAAACAGTGGGCGTTGCTGGGGGGGGGGCATTGTATCTTGAAGTCTGATCTCCTTGCAAATATTCATTTTTGCATTGCTTGTTTCCTTCTGAAACTTGACCTCACATTGATGTTCTGATGAAAGCCCTGATAATGAGACTAGAACCTGGTGGAACCAGGTTTGGGGCAGTCCCAAGCTGAGCTGGGCACCCTGATCAGCAGCTGTAGCAGGACCTGCATCCTCAGGAATGGAGGGAGATAACAGAGGCACCACCATGGGAGGCACTGCCATGGGAGGCACTGCCCTGGGCTCCTGGCTCTCCACTGACCTCCCTCTAGTCTGTCAACCCCCAGTGACCTCCTGACTGGCACTCTGCTTTCACTGACGCTCCTCACAGTACATCTCTGCCATGTTGCTCTGTTTTTGTGTGATCCTTAAGCCAAAATTTCTAAATTTAATTAGGTTGGGTGTTCATGGAATCTTTTTATAAAAGTAATGATGTGTGGAGAAACATTTTTAAGTTAAATTTTTGTTTTAATTTGTATGAGACAAGGTCTCTCTGAGTAGTCTTGGCTGTCCTGGAACTGGCTTTGTAGACCAAGGTGACCTTGAACTCAGAGCTACACCTGCCTCTGTCTCCTAAGTGCTGGGACCAAAGGCGTGCATCATCACACTTGGCTCATTTTCCCTTTCTTTAGATTCCCTTCCTCATCCCTCCTTCCCTCCAGTTTCTTCCCTTTCCTGTCCTTTTATCACATTTTATTGGAGCCTAGTCTAGCTTTGAGCTAGTCTGTAATTCTAGTCTGTAATCCTGGGGATTACCTGGGAGTATTTAGGAGGTAAGAGTGGGGGGCTACAGAATGGCTTTGAAGCCAGTTTGAACTGTACAACGTGTTTCCACAGTAACAAAAACAAATGAACATTGAATAAACATAATATAGTGCCAGGCAGTGGTGGCGCATGCCTTTAATCCCAGCACTTGGGAGGCAGAGGCAGGCGGATTTCTGAGTTCCAGGCCAGCCTAGTCTACAGAGTGAATTCCAGGACAGCCAGGACTACACAGAAAAACCCTGTCTCGAAAAACCAAAAAACCAAAACAAACCAAAACAAAACCATAATATAGTTCTATCCAAATCACTGGAGTCCGGCTGAAACTGTGCCTGTGCTTTATTAGTTTATTGATTCATCAACAAGCATTATTGAACCCCTGCTTCGGAACCATAGGAAGTAGGCATCCATTGGTTCCTACTGCCATTGACCTTCAGACATGAGGCAAATAATTGCACAAACAATATATCGTTTCAACTTGTAATCGTGCTGGGAAGGAGAACCGCAGGGTTCACCGAGAGGATGCAATATGAACAGATAGCCATCAGAGGGTACAGTTCAGGAAGTATTGGAATTCAGGCCTGAGGAGGAGAAACTGGGCTCAAGCTAGACTCTCTGGGAGCTTTGGTTTTACTTACAGAAGGACTAGAGTGGTTTTTATTTTGTTTTGATAGGGTCTCAATACGTAGCCCTGGCTAGCCTCGAACTTAGAATTTAGAGCAGACTGCCCTTGAATTTATAAAGATTCATCTGCTTCTGTCTTCTAGATGCTGGGATTAAAGGCATGTACCACCACACCTGGCTTATGTGCGTTCTCTCTCTCTCTCTCTCTCTCTCTCTCTCTGTGTATACATGTGTATGAATATTTTACCTGTATGTATGCCACATGTATGTGCTTACATGCCTGATGCCCTTGGAGACCAGAAGAGGGTGTTGGATCCCCTGGAACTGGAGTTACAGACCACTATGAGCCACCATGTATTTTGGGACCCTATCTGATTTTGTCTCTTTTCTTTCTGGAAATCATGAAGTAGCT